TATAGCTTACAAAACAGGAAAACACCATTAAACTTCCTTTGTTTCAGCAGAAACGCTTCGGAATAAAAACTAAATTGTTTGTCCCAGCAACCGATACTGTCGATCAACGTCCTAATGTATCTCCATTAGTGATCTTTGCGGAACTAACATCAACCTTCTTCGTCCACGTTCTTAATTGAAATTTTTTTCAAATTCTTCTGAAAGGTAGAAAAGAAACAGAGAGAAAAGGGAATTAAAAGTGTGAAGCGAAAAAATAACGAGCCATGATATCATCCTAGTACATCACCTGGCTCGCTGTATTCCAGTGAACCTCCTATCAATGGTTCTTTTTATAAAATCCTCAGTCTTCCCACTCGTGCCATGTACCTAGTTATAAACCTGACCATAGTTGATATGTTTGTCGGAGGATTTTCTCACTTGTCTCTATTTATTACGAGACATTTTGCAATTTCCGCACTTAACTCTGGGACTGACATTAACAACTGGCTTTCTCTTCGTCTGGTTTCCTCTGACCTCTCTTACAAACATTGCAGTAATTTCATTGGATCAGATGCATGCAACAATTCGTCCCTATATACAGCTCTTTGGTATCGCCTCATTAAAAAGTGAGTCTACGGGGTAACAATTGCTGCTCTTGTCTGGGTTTTACCTGCGATGTTTATTATACTAATCCTTAAGAATCGAATGTTTAACCAAAGTCCTATATTTAGCACATCTAGTGGACCTTCAGTCTTTTCATGTGGTAGCCCGGCCGGGGCACGCAACTACTGGTTTCTGTGAAGTAGCTGTTCGAAGAAGCACATATTATCTAGAGATTTCTATAGCTCGAAAAAAGTGAAAAATTCATGGATGAATGTATCATTCATAACAGTTTTTCGAATTTTTCAGTCTATTAACTTCTATGATTGAAGTTGGGAATGGGATTTTAACTTTTCACTTGTCCTCCCATATTTGGTCATCATTCGCAAAAATGGACTGCTTATAAAAAATTTTGGGCTTTAAAATCAGTAACGGAAAGATGTACATTGGAAAATGTTGATTGAGTTTTCTGTATATTTAATAGCATCAAAGATTTTCGAAAAAGTAAAGCGTTAATAAATTCGTATCGGCTGAAGAAGCCCAAGGATGTCACCAAACAGATACAAATTTTATAGAGTTTCCTAGAACGCATTTGCAGAGCTGCTTTTTAAAACAACAATCTTAAAGATATTCTTAAATTGTTTGAGTAAATTTTGGAGAGAGGCGGCGTGGGATATGGTGGGCGGGTTGTAGAGCGATGTTTCTCTCCTCCTCACTATAATATATACTTACCTAAATATACTTGCAATGGAAAATGTTAAAATACAAGGATTGTCCGAGCTAAGCCGCGACTTAAGGCCCTCTTCAGTCATATTTTCATGAGAAATTTCAGCTCCTTTAACCGAGTGAAATTGTTCACGAAGAGTTTGCATTAACATTTATTTTTTTTCCGGTGTCACTATGGACATTTGATGGTCTTGGAAGGGTTAACTGAAATGATAGTCACATTCTCATTTTGGTGATCAGTTATACTCAATATATACCAAACAGACCTTCAATATTTTTAAAGAGCGAAATAAAAATGTTAAAAAAGTATTAAATAAATGTAATGGATTCAAATGCAATTTTAGCCACAGTTAGATTGTTAGTTAACTTTTAAGTTAGTAGTACCCTTTGCATTTTACCACGAACATTTTTTGCTCCTGATGTAATAACACATGTTTATATATCTAGCCGGATTTTTGAAAACGTTATCATCAAATGGACCTTTTCCGTCCAACAGTTTTCTTCGGCCAAAAACTATATCCAAAGTCGCTCATTATAAAAACTAAGAGTGCAACCATTGCTTTTTTTCTTCTCCTCCTTTCCTGATCTCCTCGCTCTTTCTTTTTCTCCTTTCCTTTTCCTTCGTTACTGTGATTTTGGAGCCGTTCTCGGGCTTATTAAGAAACCTGCCTTTTGACGCCTTTTCAGTCAAATGACTGCAAATTTCGTTGGGTTGGTTTTCCAAAAATCGGTTAGATATAGAGAGGATATTACACGGTTTCGCGAATATATGAATTTTATTTTCGAGTGGCAAAACAATATTTTACGAACGAGCGCCGTGTAATGTTCTTTTTATTATATAGACACAAAGACATCGATAAAATAATAGACTTTTATTCGCGAAAAAGTGATTGTGACGGCTCAAATTTATAGTGCAGCAATATAAGACATTGTTTACAATAGTCTTTAGAAATAACACTGAGCTGAATAGGGCTATACAATGACAAAATATAAGTAAAGCACTGAAAAATGTGTAATTAAAATTCAAAGGACGCAAGACGCCTACAAATTTTGGAGGGAAATTACCGAAATTACGTCTTGGATAAACTCAGGTGTGAGATTATGGAAAATAAACCACTCGCGTCCCGGATGTAGTTGTTATGAATTTTACGAGTGGTATATTTTCCGGTAAAACACTCGTGTCTATATAATAAACTGTAATATATTATATCAGCAGATGTAGAGCCATTTTCTTTGGAAATGCTGTAAATAAACCACCACCATAGTGATTATAATAATAATAATTATTATTATACTCAGGTGAACGAGCGCTGACGTTATTTAGTTTTAAAAATATTCAGCAGAAACGAAATTTAATGCCCTCAACTTTTAGTCAACCAATTTATCCTAATCTCCCCTCAAACGTCACTGATATTTTTTCCACAGGTGAAAACAAGGTTTTCACTTCAGCTTTTGTGAAGGCAATTTGAAAGACTGTAAGTTAAAGGTGAGCTTCCTAATTCGTCGAATTATTATTCATGTATCTTCATTACTGATCTTTAAAAAACAGACGTCAACCTTGTTTGTTCACCTCCTACTTTCCTTTTCTAAGTAATCAAATTTTATTCAATTCAAATTCTTTCTAAAGGTAGACGAACAACAGAAGAGAACGGTTAAAAGTGTGAAGCGAAAAGGAGTAAAAGAAAACAAGTCATGCTATTATCTTCATCCGAGTGCATCACCTGGTTTTTTCTATTAGTTACCGTGTCTGTTGCTATAGTAACAGTGAACCTTCTATCAATCATTCTTTTTATAAAAAACCGCAGTCTACGCACTCGTGCCATGTACCTGGTTATAAACCTGACCGTAGCTGATATGTTTGTCGGAGGATTTTCTCACTTTCCTCTATTTGGATTGCTCTCATTTTTCTCATGTGACATTGTGAAAATGCACTTAGGCCAGGAACTGACTCAGATAATTATCTTTCTCTTCTTCTGGCTTCCTCTGACCTCTCTAACAAACATTGCAGCGATTTCATTGGATCGGATGCATGCAACAATTCGTCCCTTCAGGCATCGCCTCATCAAAAAGTGGGTCTACGGGGTAACAATTGCTGGTGTCTGGGTTTTAGCTGCAATGGTAGCTGCGGCCAGGTTAATAATTAATATACTAGGTAATGTAAAATGGATTACATATGGTTTTTACATATGGACATCATACTGTTGTTTGTGTCTATTTGTTATCTGTGTTTCTTACTCTTCCATTGTTGTTACATTTTTGTGTGGAGCGCATCCTCAACACCATGGTGCAGCCAACAGACAAAGGAAACTGACCGTAACATTATTCATAATGACTATCGCATCCTTACTGATGTGGCTACCATTTGCGGCTTATACTTTTCTTTTATCTCAATCTAGTATCATGAAATTCCTTTCTTTCCAGGAAATTTTACGATTGGATTTTTCTTTAACCATTCTATATTTTATGAACTCGCTTGTTAATCCCATCGTTTACACAATCAGAATTCCAGAGTTTAGGAAAGCTCTCTTGCAGTTATTTAAATGTCAACGAAGACAAAATGCCCGAGATATTCCTCTTCATGCGCTTTAATGTACTTTGTTTAACACTTGGAAGCCAACTAATGATTTCGTCATCTTCATAAAAAAAAAAAAAAAAAAAAACAGTAGTTGATTGTATACTATTATTGCGGCCTTTAAAGTTTTATAAAAAGGCCGTAAAGAAAGGTTGTGGTGCAATTTTTTCCTTGGTTCAAATGCTTTCTTCCTTTGTTTTAAACTCTGATTCTCAATCGTACATAACAATACCGCAACACAAAGGAAAACAAAATCTAAACGATTGATGAGTTGAACCACAGTATTTCGTCAAATACTACAACTAAATATATATAGAGTCGGTTAGTAGTCTCGTTTATCTTTTCGTTACCTTTAGTATGCTTCCAAAATGAAAAGATATCCTTTACATTTCCTTGTTTAGAGTTAGTCATTATGATTGTGGTCGCAAAACATGAAATATATCCATTATGTACATTAAGGGCAGAAGTTGTTTAGTTCTTAATTTGTTATTTCACAACGCGATATCTACTTTAATAATGTGACTTGTTTTGAAGGTAAAATACCTGTTAGTAAAATCAGCATATTAAGAGACTTCAATAAAGTTGCTATTTATATAAACAGGATTTCTTTACGTTCTTATCTGTGTCTGGAATATCACAAAGGAATGGGCCGGAAAAACGCTGAAATGGGAAAAGCACACTTCAGTGTCCTAAAGATGGAAAAAGTCAGGAGATTGTTAAAAGTGTCTTTTTTTTCACGTCAGTTTTAGGAGAGGATTATAAGAATGTTGTTTTTCCTCGTTGTGTGGTTAAGGACATTTGCGCACAGCTTGCCAGATAAATTCAAGACTCTTTCTGCCACTATTGTTGAACATTTCCGGGTCTTTTTTCTGAGAGATAATATATAGCCAAATCTGGGAAGGAAAGTCAATTGAAAAACTTTGAAAATCATAGATGAATGAAGAGTCATCAAAACTATTTAGCCTTTCTCGAGAAATAGAAATTTGTAAACAAGAGTTTTGCTTCTTCAAACATATATTTTACATCAGAAAACCTTCCCCTGATAAATGAGGATGGAAACATATCACATAGTCTGGATTGAATATTGTCATTACTGGGAACTAAATCTCGTAAATCCATCTTGTCAGTTCGTGTCCTTAAACTGCGCCATGAATTCTTGGTGAAAGATTCGTAGTCGCTCAAACATTGGAGCGAACGTCTCTTCAGAAGGAAGAATAGTGATCCTACCAAGAAAGATTAAAACATGAAACCGTTTTAAGTTATTTCCTTCGTATGGATAGTGGCTTTGAGAAATCAAAACTTTTTGGATTATTTTAAGCCATAATGTGGAGATGAAACTTGGTCCAATTCAATCAGACTTTCACACGCTGACAGAACGTCGCTTTTACGGACAAATCGCTTTTAGGACGCCTTTTCCCAAGTAAGTTTATGCTCTGGTCCGTACCGTATAATCCCGGTTGTGAGCCCTTCTATTTGTAAACACCCACTTTATTCCAGTTGCAGGACCTCCACTAAGCCCCAATCACCCCGGCTATGGGCCGACCTGTGTATACCCTTATCGCGTTCGTCAAAACGCATCCTAATTTGGTGTTCCTGTAGTACAAAGGCAGAATTTTTCGGGGTTGGGGGGAAAGGGGGGTCTGTTCAAATTTAAAGGTGCAGTCAATCTAATCAATCTAAATATATTAGACAAACCTGTGAAAACCTTGTGACCCAAGGGCGCAAATGATCTCACAGAGAGGTTTTTAAAATCATAAAAATTCCGACCTGAAATTGATGACCCTTGTTAATTCAAATCTTACCTGTAGTAAAAGTTGTTATTACCGCCGCTGCCTTTCATATCAAAAACGTGGCCAGGAATCATGTAAATTCCAGTTTTCTCCAGCGCCTGCCAACAGTAAAACTCGTCTGGTGGCATTTCCTTGGCCTGACACTTCCCTCACCAAACAGATCACATACATACTTCCCTTGTGAGAGGAATATCTTTATTTCAATGAATCCCTCGATGAAGCCTTTACAGGGAGTTGTTCAGGAGTTGTTACTAGATCGACACGACATGTGGAATTTAGCAATGCAATAAGGAAAGTTGAGAAAGTAAAATTTTAATTTTCGCGGGACATTATCAGCAGCCTGAATAAGATGGGAGCCCATGATAGCGCCCTTATCGCTTTTTCTAACCGAAGAACGCCTTTTATGAAAACTGACACGGCGGGAAACGGGTTGGCATTCCTCTAATATAAGGTGCATCAACGAGAATCTTGGCTTCTGGATCGCACGTTGTGGATTCCGGATTTTATGCTGTAGGTCCCGGATGGCGGGTACTGGATTCAGTATTCCTTGTCCATGAAACGTGGATTCCAGATTCCAATCGTTAGCGAGATTCCGGGCTTCATATATAGAGCAGGCCGCAGCTGTTCAAAAGCTGGATAACGCCATCCACCGGATAAATCTCTATCCAGTGGATAGTGCAATTGGTTTCGCTCATACTTATCTATCGCATAGTGATTTATTCGGTGGATAGCGCTGCCCATCTTATGAACAACCGGGTCTGAATTCCGAATTTCAAACACCAGAACTGATTCCGGATCAGTCTACAAGAAAAAAATTCCCGGGTTCCGGAATTCGCATTACCGTACACCTACGATATCCATTACTGACAGTATTCTGCAGTGCGGCTCTAGAAATCAGGGCAGGAAACAGGACATGATACCTTGGCTGCCTCGATGGCTTTCTTTGGAAGTGTTATTCTCGGAAACGCATACATTACACCTGCCACCTCGTTACACTTAACATTTTCCATTGAGTTAAGAGCCTCCGTTGTCATCTTTGCTTTCTTCACGTAAGAATCCTTGATGGAAGTTACTTCGTGTAATACGGATAAAACACAAAATAATGCATTAGGCAAGATATGGGAATACTGAAGGTAATCACCTCTATAGAATTTCCCTAGTGCGTCGCAATTAAAGATCATTTTCTATACATTTATAAGAAGATTGCCAAATGTTCCAGGAGAAAATAGAAATTTTTGTTTACTCGACCTAGTCCCTTAGCGACTCCAGCACTTGGCAAACGTTACTTGCGTAAGACACGAATCTGACGTTTTGCTTGGGCAAAAGAATCAATGGAAACCTATCTTGCGTGCCAGAGACTTTTCATGCACGGCTTCCGCTTTTTCAAATCTTTATCGCCACTCGTGGCTTTGGCCCACGGGCCGAAGGATCCGGCCACCCGGGAGAAAAACCTCTGGTACCCAAGGTAAGAGGAACAAGCTTTATTTGTTAAATCGGCTACCCCATGGCAGGCATTAGAGGCGTCACCTGACTAAGTATTGTATTATTCACTGCTTTTATCTGTATCGTGAAAAGCTATGGTTCAAATTGTTACATTTTCGTTAAAACCTGGAACGAGTTACAGCCTGAGCACTAGAGACAAGCTAAAAAAAAAAGAATAATACAATTAATTTTGTCATTCACAACTAAGTACCTAAGTTTTCAAGTTCCATAGCGAATAATGACTCGTTATTGCCATTATCAACCATAAAAACTAGTCAGCCGTGACAAAGCCCCTTTAAAAAATTACAAGAGCGATAAAGTAGCGCTGAATATGATCACGCGAGGCGCGTGAGTTTCTCTGGGTTAAGTTACAGTTAAGGAGCATACCTTTGAAAACTTTTCATATGATTCATCGCCAGGCTTGGGAGGATTGCAAGTGAGTCCCATGATTACCTTGGGTTAGAAACCAAGCGTAATGAATACAGCCTGAGTACCTTACAATAAAGCACTAACAGCTTCCTCTGCAGGCGCTTCGAGACTCGTGCGACACAAGGCGAATGACTGGAAATAAGAGAAGCGCGAAGCTTTATGGGAGGAGTAAGAAAGGAGGGCAAAGCCATCTTTCACCATCCCGTCGTTCTTTGCGCATAGTGTGAGAGACGCCTAATTATGATGAAGTTACATCTGAACTATTGCAATTTTTTGCTTAACTGCCTATAATACCCTGACCACCATAAAACAAAACAAAACAACAACAGGAACAAACAACACAAAGCCAATATAACGAAAAGAAAAACACAAGCAGCCAGGCTTGTCTAGGACTTGGGAGATGTTAATAAATCATCGTAGAAGAACTAAAATACTTTCGCTCTAACGAAAAGGTAACTGAGGACCTTCCAAGTATTCAAACTGGAAATTTTGGACTAGGGTTTGAGGCAGCCCTTTCATTAGGGACCTCTGCCCCAATTTCACTTCATGTGATACATTTTTTGTACCTGTCCTATCGTGGAAGGGCAACTTCTTGCACTCAGGTAAGTTTTTACTCGAGACCTCAGTTGATCATTGAATCCTACGAGCTCTATATATCTACCTCTGAGCCCACATCTGCAAGGAACAGCAAAGAAGTAAGTCGAGTAGTCTCAGGGGTAGATGAACAATTGACCCATTGCAGCTTGTCATTGACATGGTACGAAAACACTATGATGGAGAGCAAGGTTGTTTACCATTTACAAAAATACAGTTGGAAAGAACCGGTAAGTAGAACACCTGACAACTTTTCAAGAAATTTCATTGGAAAATGTCCAGGGGCAACGGAGTGCCTGAAAAGGTTTTTCTGTTTTTCCGATCATGTTTCTTTTCTTCAAAGCCGCCTTTGATACCAGGTTAAGGCTTTCGCGGCCGCTTTTCGGTAAATGAAACTGATTGGTACAAATGGAAAACGCGACGCGATTCTGGGACGAAATTTACTACCACTGAATTTTGCTTACCATTTGCATGCCCAAACCGCCAACCGAATGGTTTGTCCATGTAAATGGTAAACAACTCAAGACACGCACTGGGAGAGGACAAACATAGAAAATATAAATGATGTGAGCTCTTTGTTTGTCTTGTTCCAGTGCGCCCCTCCCTTAGGGTGGATTTCTACTGTCGCTTCATTTTCACGTACGTATGCACGTAAATTCTACGTGTGTGAATAAAATAGAGGCAATGTATGGAAGGTCGCGCGTAAACGTTAAAGTAAAAGCTCGCTTAATTTTTACGTTTACGCCTGACCTTTCATATGTTACCTCTATTATATTTACGCGCGTAAAAATTACGCGACAGTGGAAATCCACCCTTACTCGATCCCCAGCATGGCGGTTTTGTACCACGTTAATAGGGAGTTTAAGCAACAACGACGGCGACGGCTACGAAAACGTCACTTAAAAAGTAAAGTCGCGCTGCTTCAAACTTTATCGCGCTTAGGGACCAGTCATAAAGTACAGGGGAGGGTGGGCTATGAAAAATTGGGTGGGTCACTATTTTTTAACACGTGAAAAAGGGTGGGTCAGGAAAAATAATGCACCTCATTAGGGGTGGGTCATGTTAAATTATTCACATGTCACTACAAACGTTAGTAAAATCTTTTTTTAACAATAAATCTAATTTTCCACATTAATCCAACTTTATATGACAACAGGAATTCACATATTAAATATTTTGTTTCTATTGATGTACAGTCTTTAAATCTGAAGAGTAGTCAAGCGGGAAACTTTTTATAGTATAAAATCTAGAACAAAGCTTTACTGTGTGTTCATAAACCTAACTTACGTTAACATCTTTTTTAATATCTTCTTCTAATCATCTTTAGTCATCTTCACCATTACCATCACCCTCAGAAGCATTACCATCCTCCTCCTCCTTGTCCTCCTCCTCCATCTCATTATCATCATCATCATCATCATCATCATCATCATCACTATCACCTATAGCACGAAATACAATATGGGACACGTTTGGTCTGATTGTTTCAATAGCATCCACTGTAAATTTACCTTTACTTATTAATAGTTTTAACCACCTACCATCTCTCTTTGTTAAGGCCTATCACACTACAAGTTTTTAATGATGGAAAATCAAACGGTTGTTCGGAGTGGTTTCTCTCCCTTCGCAGCATAGAGTCCGACCTGGAGAAACCACTGCTCGCAGGGTAGCAAAACGAGGGCTGTGACTCTTAATCAGTAATTCAGAGAAAAGTCTTTCCGGGACTTTGATCAGTGACCCCTTAATTTATCTTCCAGAATGAACGATGGAGTCGAGTAAGGAAGTTCTAACTAACTTTAGAGTGTGGGGACGAAATCATTTGGCTTTTGGTGTGACCATTCAAATGAAACCTCTTTGTCAGTACTTTCATGAGGTACTATATGTTTCTGAGATTCTAATTCTGGGCACTTGATTTTAAGAAATGAAATTTAGAATTTTTTTTTTTTTAATAAACACCCAAGGTTTTTTTAAAATTTATTTTCACAGACAACAAATTAAATACAAGTAAAAAGTGACAAAAGAGAGAAAAACTACAAAACAAAAACGAAACAAAACAAAAAACAAAAGACAAAAAAAAAAAAAAAAAGGAAAAAAAAAAAAAACTCACACACATCAATTGAGAAGATAGCAGCAGGCTAAAAGCAAATTTGGAATTGGGAACGGTTAATAATGGTTTGACTATGGGTATGTATGTACAATCAAATAAGCCCAGCAAACAGACCACCAAGGGTACAAAATTGGCACTAAATCAAATTTTCCCGCTTCCCGAGGGTGGATACAAAAATAAACAAACAAGAGGAAAAACACACGCACAACTTACTCTCCGGTGTATCCTTTCGCACTGCAATGAAGAGAGATCAATTGGTATCCGCTATATTCGTCTCCCAGGTCCCTGAGGACATTTTTGCACGAGTGAAACTGGGCTCCCTCCGCGTACACGTTGTCTTGGTAAACTCCATCGGCGAATAAAACTAACTTCTCACGAGCACATAACTTGATTACTTCTTGAATGCCTTCATAAGTCAACACCTGACCTATATATAAACAAGCAGCAAACGTGACTAAAGTTAATGGATAAACGAAGGACAGAACAAGTTTACATTTTATAGTTAAACTCTGATACAACGAACACCTCGGTTTAACGTAGAATCTCTATATGACGGACACCCTAGTTTAACGACTGCTTAGATAATGAACATCCCGTTATTAGGCGGGAATTCATAAAAAAAGAAAAAAAAGAACGCCTATATGACCAACACCCTGGTATAACGAACACCCTTTTATAAGGGTCACCCCGTGAAAAGAAAGCTGGAACGCAATAACCTGTGTGCTAAAAGAATGTCGAGAGTAAATAGAGAAATTTTATTATCATTGCTATCATCATCATCATCATCATCATCTGCATTAATATTACTGCACGTATTACAAATCGATAAACATTCAACGTACCTGTTGGATTGCCTGGATTTATCAGCACGAGAGCTCTTGGTAAACAGTGCGGCCTTGCCCCATCCAGCTTTTTCTTTAGTTCAGACATATTCAAGCCCCAGTTGTTGTCTTCGTCAAGAAGGTAAAATATCAGTCTTCAGGATAAAAAATAAATAAAAACTTGAGTAGAACGTAATTTTCTCCTGGGGTCTCTGAGGAAGAATGCCAAAGTGTGAAGTAATAAATTCTTGCTGCAACAAAACTGGAACCAAGTTCTTAAATATACTTCGGTTGACGGATAGTTTCGGGAACTCTTAAGGCTGGTCCAGTTTTCACTAGTCGTAATTAGAAGTGCAAAGCGTTATGATCGAGTGAAAAAGAAGTCAGATTCCGCATACGACTCCGTCGCTTACAATGTCAGTAGTGACAACTACAAGGTTGTCGCACTTGTAACGAGAAGCGACAGATCAATCCTTCACAACATGCCACAGTGCTTGGGAACGAGTATTGCGATTGGTTTATTCCTCCCGGTTTCACTACACTGTAAGCGGCGGAGTCGTAAGCGGAGTCGGAAGATAAAAACGTTCCGATTCTTACTTTGGGACTCCGATTCCTCCCTTTAAGCCCATGAACCCGTTTACGACTCCGAGTACGACCGGCCCGTCACCGTGGTTTAAGTGAAAATCAGCCAAACTTGGACGAATTTTGCACAGGCAGGGAAGAAGCTAACTTGCTCAAACACCACAAAGCGTTTTTTGTTTTGTAATATTTTGTTTTTCTAGTAGTGATTCGCACGCGCCAACGGCTCTTAAAGATGGAAAATCTGCATGGAAAATACAGTAGTAGACTTTCGCGATGCGAACATTTAATTCAAATTTACAGCCATCTTCTAGAGTCTTAAGTCTCTTTCTTCTTAACAGTTACTAATACATGCCTAGTTAGACTGGTCAGCAAGCGTGAAAATTAAAGCGAAGTAAAGCCGCGATAGCACGAGCGAAGCGTGTGCAAGTGCTCCACTCTCCTCGCACTCCTTTCCGCTGCCCCTCCCAGACAAACTCACCAGCTTCGTTGGTTAAGTAGATGAAAATGCGTGAACGATAGAGAAAACAACTCCTAAAAATGCGACGCAACACGCGTGTCACTTCTAGCGGGAAGTAGCCTGTTTTAGCCGTTCAGATAATAAAGCACGGTCCAAAAATTGATGAGGAAAAAAAAAACAGGAGAGACTAGAGAGGGAAAGTTCCCGCGCTCTCGCCCCACTCTCCCCTCGTTTCCTCCGCGTACGATTTAACCCAAACACTGCGTTCTACTATTTGAACGCCTGGAACAGGCTGCGCGGGAAGCGACGCCAAGTGACACGAATAGGTATTACCTGGTGTGTGTTGTGTTGCAGTAGCCTC